TTTCAGAGAGGACAGGAGGGGGGGAGGGGGAAGGGGAAGAGGGAGGGGAGGGAGAGGACGAGAAACATCAGTGATGAGAGTTGTCATTGATCAGCTGCCTCCTGCCCGCCCCCTACTGGGGATCAAGTCCGAAACCCAGTCATGTGCCCTGACGGGAATCGAGCCATGATCTCCTGGATCCTAGGCCAATGCTTAACTGCTGAGCCACGACCCACAGGGCTAAATCAGTGTATTTTCTATTCTATCTGCATTCTATTGCATTCTGCTTGCATTTCTGCAGTATAAACAGAGGATGAACTTTAATCATAAATATTATTATAGGTAGCTGATTAAATAATACTACTTTTTTATTAATACAACACTTGCCATTTTTTTAATTGTTTTTGTTTCTTTGTTTATTTTCCTTACACAGTTTTCTTTTTCCTTCTGTTACAGGTATAGCAGAAAAGACACAGCTTCTGAAATTGAGCGTACCTGCTACCTTTATGCTTGTATCTTTAGATGAAGGACCAGGTCCTCCAATCAAATATCAGTATGCTGAGTTAGGGAAGTTATACTCAGTAGTGTCTCAGCTTATCCGTTGTTGCAATGTCTCATCAAGGATGCAGTCTTCAATCAATGGTAAAGTTGAATGTTCCATTTTTTACAGTACTTTAAAAATAATGCCAGCCTCCTGCAGTACTTAATTAAAATTCTGAAGATTTATAAAATTAAGAGTCTGAAGGTTCATGCTTTTGATGTGTTATATTTTTATCATACTTAGTTTGAGAGACACATTTTAAAGCTTCCTACTATGATAAGTCCCTATTCATGAGATGGTTGGTTTAAGAATTTTAAGTTTATGGTTAGTTTTTTTGGTCTTCAATGTCACCATTTCTGTTTTTGCATCATCTTAGTGTGTCTATGTATGATTTTGTTTAATGTGATTAGGAGACTTTCTGATAGTTTTTGAAGTAAAAATTCAGTAATATAATTTTATGAAGAACTACTGGCTTTTCATTGATTCCAAATCTATTCTAGGTAATCCCCCTCTTCCCAATCCATTTGGTGACCCTAATTTATCACAACCTATAATGCCAATTCAGCAGAATGTGGCTGACATTTTATTTGTGAGAACAAGTTATGTGAAGAAAATTATTGAAGACTGTAGTAACTCAGAGGAGACCATCAAATTGCTTCGTTTTTGCTGCTGGGAGAATCCTCAGTTCTCATCTGCTGTCCTCAGTGAACTCCTCTGGCAGGTTAATAAAAATAAACATTTATATTATCTATAATTTGATTCATTATTCCTTTAAATGATTAATTTAACTGTGTTTTACCTAATTTTAGGTTGCATATTCATACACCTATGAACTTCGACCATATTTGGATCTACTTTTGCAGATTTTATTGATTGAGGATTCCTGGCAGACTCACAGGTAGCTACAATTTTTGCTGTCAGAATAAGTACATTTTTTCTGTGTTCTATAAATAAGTAAAATTTCGAGTAGCCAAATATATTTTTCCACTTCTTGAAGCTCTGTTAAATGGTTTATCTTTTAAAAATACAATAACCAAAATGAATGAAAAGTCTCACCTTCTGTTAAAATTTTGTTATATTTTTTCTTTTTTTCTTGAATAAAACTAGCCCTAGCCCTAGTTTTGCTCAGTGGTTAGAGCATCAGCCTAAGTACTGAAGAGTCCTGGGCTCAGTTTCAGCCAAGGGCACTTACCTTGGTTGCAGACTCTGTCTGGGGCGCATGGGAGGGGCAACCAGTCAATGTGTCCCTCTCACATCGATGTTTCTCTGTATCTCTCTCCCTCTGCTCTCTCTGCATAGCAATGGAAAAAATATCCTTGGGTGCCAGGTGGACATGGCTCAGCAGTTGAGCATCGACCTATGACCCAGGAGATCGAGGTTCGATTCCTGGTCAGGGCACATGCCCGAGTTTGGGGCTTGACCCCAATACGGGACGTGCAGAAGTCAGCCAGTCAGTGACGTTCATGATTGATGTCTCTCTCTCTCTCTCTCTCTCTCTTTCCCCTCCTCTGCCTTCCTCTCTCTGAAATGAATAAAGACATATTAAATACACACACACACACACACTCGGGTGAGGATTTAAAAAAAAATAAAAGCAATTGACACTAATGGTTATATCTCAGAAATGTTAAATATCATTCATTATTATTTAAAACTGAAGAACAAATCAAAATATACTTTAATATATATTACAAGTTTTTCAAAATAAGTATTACCTATGCATGTTGTTTTTTTGTCTGAAATCATCACACTTTGAAAAATTACTGAAATTATGTTTTTCACACAAGGCCTACATTATGAATGTCTATACTGAACAACAAAAACAACTTGCCTTTGATTTGGACTATAATGATATTCTATGAAGTAAAATAAATTGTGTTAAGTTTTTCTCGATTCTTTCTGTCCAGGCACCTTTTGTCTCCTAGGTATACTCTAGTAGTTTTGTTACTACAAGATATTAAAATTGGCTGTTGAGAACAAGAAATAATTGCCTGTATAAAATGTTTTATTCAGGTTTGGTTAAACCTGGAATGCAATTATACTTTTGCCAGTGAAAATGGCTTTACCTACCACATGTGTATTCTAGTTATTAGAATTCAAGTTAATTTTGTACTGCCAAATTATAGCAGTATCATAATCAAACCTTACTTTACACTTTTAAAAATGCAATCGTAAAAAATGATGACTCAAAGTAAATTATTCTCAACTGAAGCTGTCATGAAGACAGTTGTAGTTAACTTTAAAATAATGTACTATTTGTACCCAGCCAGTGTGGAAATTTTTTTTAACCAGGAGGGCTCTTCCTCTCTCTGAAATCAATAAAAACATAGTTTTAAAAAATAAGTGATGTAGTATTGGTAAATTTAATTTATATTTAGGAATGCATTTAAATTATGGTAGAGCAAAATCCTTTTGGATTGATGATAATTTGGTAAGACTTCAGACTCTTGAGTCAGACTGTTAGCAAGCTCTCCAACTTGCTAGCTCTGTCATCCCCAGGCTGTTTCACTTCTGTACTTGTTTTCTCATCTATTAAATGGATTTACTAATTTGTCTGCTTGGATAATTAACTCTAGAATTAAATAGAGTAGATAGCTAAATCAAAACATAGATTGAATGGCACACAATAGTCTAGTTTTAGTACTAGATACTACAAAATTTATATCTGGTTCTTTTTTAGAATTCATAATGCGCTCAAAGGAATTCCAGATGATCGAGATGGTTTGTTTGATACAATCCAGCGCTCTAAGAATCACTATCAAAAAAGAGCATATCAATGTATAAAATGTATGGTAGCTCTCTTTAGCAATTGCCCTGTTGGTTACCAAATATTACAGGTGAGAATTATTTTTTATCATTTTGTCCCAATCTGAATCATAATTAAGGACTGCTTTAGAGGAAATGATTCCTGAAAAATTGGAGTCAGTATTTTAGGTTAACATAGTATATTATTCCAAAATCTTTTACATATATTTTTTTTTTTTTAAGAGTAATGGAGATCTTAAAAGAAAGTGGACCTGGGCAGTGGAATGGCTTGGAGATGAACTTGAACGAAGACCATACACTGGCAATCCTCAATACACTTATAATAATTGGTCTCCCCCAGTACAAAGCAATGAGACATCAAATGGTTATTTCTTAGAGAGATCACATAGTGCTAGGATGACGCTTGCCAAAGCTTGTGAACTCTGTCCAGACGAGGTAAAAAAAAAAAAAAAAAAAAAAGCCACCAGTAGGCAGCAAGTAGAAATGGAAGAAAGAAAAGTAATTTTTAAATATATAGGCCTGTGTTTATTGTGTAAAAATATATTTGTGTTGTTGTTTTATTGGCTTTAATATTTAATGTTGATCGGTTTATTCTTAAATACTCAAAGGATGTTGTTAACTCATTAGGTATTTTGAAGAAATATCTATGAAATTGCCTAAAAATTACACATGTAGAGGAATCCAAAATTTTTTCTCTAATTGTAAATTATTTTATCTGCAGTAACTGGAAAGTGTTAAAAAGGTCAGCTTTGTGGATTCTTCCAAAGTTTATCTCAAATGAGATTAAAAAGTCAATTTAAACTTCCTTTCATAATCAAATTCTTAATCTTTCTGTATTTAAAATTAGGAGGCAGATGACCAAGATACCACAGATGAGCATGAGTCATCTCTACCAGAAGATGTCCCATTATATTCTCATTCATCTGGATCTCACTATCAACAGGTAAACAGGAGTTTGTTTCATTTTAATCTATCCCCAAACCATTTTGGGGTTTATTTAAAAAGTACTTAATAACTTTTGAAAATATATTGTGCCCCGGCCAGGCGTGGCTCAGCGGTTGAGTGTCAACATAGGATCCAGGCAATTGGGGTTCGATTCCCGGTCAGGGCACATGCCTGGGTTGCGGGCTCGATCCCCAGTCGGGGGTGTGCAGGAGGCAGCCTATGAGTGACACTCTCATCATTGATGTTTCTCCCTCTCTCTCCCTCTCCTTTCCTCTCTCTGAAATCAATAAAGATATATTTTAAAAAGTAAAATATATTGTAACTTACTAACTATGCCTATAAAATGATAATGGGATTATCTGAATAGCTTAGACAAATGATCAGAAAGCAGTGGTTAAGGTGGAATTATGTTGGAGCATGTTTGACCTACCCTGTGGTATTTTCTTTGTCAACTAGGCAACCCTATGGTGCTAATAGTTGTAGTTAATAAAAATATTTCATAATAACATAAAACTAATTATTAAATGTTATCGAAAGTATCTTGCTTGCTTTTGCTGCAATATTTAGTTGTAAACAAAATTTTTTTTTTTAAATATATCTTCATTGATTTCAGAGAGAGGACGGGAGAGAGGGAGAGAGAGATAGAAACATAGATGAGAGAGGCATTGATCAACTACCTCCTGAACGCTCCCAACTGGGGATCGAGCCCACAACCCAGGCACATGCCCTGACCGGGAATCGAACCTCGATCTCCTGGATCCTAGGTCAACCGCTAAGCCACGTCCAGCTGAGCTAAAAAAAAAATTTTTAATCAACAACTTGGTTTTAATAAATGGCTCACTTGAAAAGATAACATGTAAATGATGAAATTTTCTTTCAAAAAAAATTTCAGGGAAAAGTTGCTGATATTTTTCAAAGTTTATACCTCATATGTCATTAATTTCGACCTTCTAAGGCAATGGTTTTTAAATTTGATATGCCTCAGAATCACTAAAGGCACTTGCTGAAAACAGATTCCTGTGTCCCCCCCATGTTATTTGACTAAGTAGGGGTGGGAGGGGGATATGCAAGATTTTGCATTTCTAACAAGTTTCCAAGTGACTCTATTTCTGCTGGTGTAGGGACCACACTTGGAGAATTAACTGTCTTAGAAGAGCAGTTGGTAATAAACACTCTTTTAAAACACTTCCTTGGTGAAGGTTAAATTAACCTCACAGATTTATGTGTGGTTTTTTTCCAAACACTATCTTTTTGTACTTACTTTCCTTACAATATGGAAATTGGTATATAAGTTATTTTACAACTACTACATGAGTTTTTTAAAATATAAATCCCTAGGAATACGGGACATGTCTACTTTCAGAAAAATTTTGGTCTGTGATTTTAATTTTAATATTTGAAAAGTTTGACATGCAGGTCTTCTTTTGCTCTCAGAATAATCATGTGCATGGACAGCCATATACAGGACCAGTAGCACATCACTTGAACAACCATCAGAAAAGTGGCCAGCGAACACAAGAAAGTGATGATGGCAATGAAGAAGTATCCTCATCTCAAATGAGGGATCAGTAAAATGTCCATAACTGGTTCTGTTAAGATGATGCACTCAGGCCTTACAGTCCAAACTTTTTGTTTGTAGCTAGTGTTTAAAACTAGACAAATTGTTCACAACATCTCCTTTGCAAAAGTTTGATCTCAATATATAAGCCACCTGCAGGGGAAAGTGTATAGTGTTTTATAATTAATGGTTGATAATATTGTATAAATGGCAAAGGTGTATATAGTATATATTAATGTTTGACTGTTAATTCTTATGCTAAAAATTTTTTTTGATGGAGTGATTGAGATATACAAAAAATAATTTTCTTATGTCTGCTGAATTCTGCAACCATTATTGTCTGCTTCGTGGCAGTTTAGTCAGTCCTTTACCAAAAAAAAGAAAAAAGATAGAAGAACCCATTCACATCATTCACATGGATAATGTGGAAAAAATGATGATGTGGCTTTATTTCTGGATACTATTACCCTTTTGTTCTGGTAGTAAGTTAAACTTTAAAACTATAGTTATGCTATAACATTTAGCATGGCTTCATACTGAGTTTGTGTAGCCAGTGAGGACAAAATTACCTGAATAATAACAGTTTCCCCAAAGCGACAGCCATATTGCCCAGCACTTTTATTTCTTATAACAGGAGTAAATATAAAACAAGGGGGAAATACGTTGACAAACAAGCAGTTTGGGGTTACACATATAATCTTCATATTTAACAGTTGACGTTTCATTCTCAAATGGAATAAAGTATGTGAATGTATTGGTAATTTAAAATTTTAAAGTATTAAAACTAATATGCAAAATTTTGCTGTGCCAGAATATGTAGAGCATAATAGAAGACTGTATTTGGTGCGCTTACTTTGTTTTCTGATACAGTTTATTAGATGAAACTTTTAAAGTTTTGCTTTTACTGGAGTCTGAAGAAGTGGACAGCATCAGAATCCCATAATACTTTGAAGTACACAGCATCAAGATGTCTGCCTGGTTTTCTAGTCAGTTATAGTTTTACCTGAAAGGAAGAATGGTCCCAGTTCATTTTCCATTCCAAAACTTACTGTTGTGGAGTTTAATTAAAACATAGATTTCTGGGTTGTTAATATAATTTTGAAGTATTATTTTAGAAAAAACGTTTGTTTCAGGATTCCAAGAAATTCATGACTTAATACTATAAAAAAGAATTGATAACTTTTGAATGTGTGTAACATTTTGGAATTTGACTAAAACCCAGATGTTCCTGCAAAGAGAAACAGTCTGTCCTATACTATTTAAATATTTTGTTGTTTTGTTTTATAGAAATTATTTTGCTGAATTCACAAATAGAATTTGATTTAACAAGAATTTTGTCCTGTAGTGTTTTTGTTAAATCTTTTGTTTTGATCTAAAGGATTACACTTTAAAATTAATTCTTTGTATAATAAGCCTTGTCATGACACCAAATTCAGCATTTCTCACACATTGAGGTTTTGTGCTAAACTAACTTGTGTTTTACCCTTTATTATAAATATTTAAAGAAAAGAAAAACAAGTATTGGCACCTTTAAGTTTTTCTAAATTAATCAACCTTGTATTTCGGACACATTTTTTAGTCAGCTATTTTTATTTATAGTAGTTATGTTGTACAGTAGTGATTTCCAACTATAGTACTTCAAGAATTTTGAAAACATGCAATACCTGACTATATTTAGTCCTGGGCACTGACCTCTTTTTTCTTAGATTGTCAAAAAATGCCAACAGCCAACACAACACAGCCATCTGGTGTCAGTGAATCAAATCAAAATTACACCTCTTTTTTTTTTTTTTGGTCAGATTGGCAAAAAATATATTTTTTGCTTGCTGCAGAAGTTTTGATAATTAGTTTCTGTGTTCCATGAGAAGAAAAAGGTTGAATACTGTTATTTTCTAATATTGCTATGAACTCTGAGTTCATATTGAACCAATGCTCCTCTGAAAAAGTGTGTTTGGCTTCTGCAAAAAGTTGTTATCAGAGAACTGCGTGGATTGCTCTTTGCTGTTGCTAGTGAGAGTAGGGTTCTTGGGGTACCCCTGGAATAAGCATTTCCTCAGGCCCCCACGGGAGGATGAGATGTCATTAGAAAGCTTTATTTGTGTGGAATTACATTCCTGAGTTTCAGAAGTCCCATTTCCCTTAAACCAGTCCTGGAAAATGTGCATCTAGGGATTCAGCAGAGCTAAAAGTACAGTTTTCAGTTTCCGTTCCATGGTGGAGCAGGGCCTGGCACAGCATTAGGCAAGTTCCAGTCTATCAGTTCCAGTCCATGTGTGGAGTATACATGGCTGTGGGCCATGTGGTCGAGTACAGGGCTTGAGAGCCCCACAAGCCAGGAGGCAGGCTTGAGGAAAAAGAAAACTCCTGCTCAGCCGGCGGGGCTCAGCAGTTGAGCGTCGACCTATGACCCAAGAGATGTTTTTTGTCTTTTACTGATCACAGAGAAAGGAAGGGAGAGGGAGGGAGACAGAAACGTCAGTGATGAGAGAATCATTGATCACCTCCCTCCTGCACACCCCCTACTGGGGACCAAGCCCAAAACCTGGGCATGTACCCTGACCCAGAATCGAACCTCGATCTCCTGGATCTTAGGTTGATGCTCAACCACTAAACCACACTAGCTGGGTGATCCAGTAGATCTTGGTTCGAATCCTGGTCAGGGCACATGCCCAGGTTTTGGGCTCCGTCCCCAGCAGGGCACGTGCAGGAGGCAGCGGATCAATGACTCTCATCATCGATGTTTCTATCTCTCTCTCCTTCTCCCTTTCTCTCTGAAATCAATAAAGACATATTTTTTTAAGACAGAGGAAACTCCTTTATTTAGGAAATTAAATATCTCATCTTCCCATGCTTGCAGTGTCCACACCTACTCTGGCCAATGACCTGTTCCCAGGTGTGACAGGAGAGACAAGTACCTTCCCTACGTCATCCAGACTTTAATAACTGGGTTAATTTACAACTATATCATTCCTACCTGAGAAAAAGGAACCTCTTGTAATCTGACCAAGAAAAATGGATGAAGATCTCGTCTCTCCTTGTAACTTGGGTGTCAAAGGGTATAGTCCTGCCTGTCCCAAGGCTTAGAGGTTCTCCCTGTCTGACAGAGGAAGTGAGGGGAGGGGGGAGAGAAGGTAAAAAGGGAAAGGAGGATTATGTAGGAAGAAGGATTCTGTAAAGTTCAGGTCAGTCTGCTACCTTTGGGAGGTGACATGGGCAGTGTTCAGGAGGATAACCTGTTGGACAGGGTAGCATTTTTGTTGTACTCTAGAAATGACAAACTTGACAAGAAGCTTAAAAAGCACAATTGAAAAGTGAAGATACTGAGAGCAACTAAAGGTCTACTGCAGGGGTGGAAAACATCTGGCCCGAGGGCCACATAAGGCCAGTGAAATCATTTGGTCTGGCCCTGTCGAGGTAACTGCAGGCGGGGCTTGAAATTCAATAAACCTAGGAGCTTTTTCATAGCAAAAATAATTTTGTATGGCCTGTGAATGATGTTATAAATAACCAAATGGCCCTTGGCAGAAAAATGGTTCCCCACCCCTGGTCTACTGAGAGGTAAAAACCCATGTGATGAAGGGAAAGGCTAATTTAACAGTGTTCCCCGTTAGGTTGAAGTAGGGGCTTCCCTGGAGGCAGGTGTGTTGCACCTGTCTGAAGTCCTTTTGTCCACCATATTTAACCCAAATTATGCTAAGGGAAATATTCTAAGATTTGCCTCGTGAGAAAATGTGGGACTTTTCTGTCTGAACCATTTGGGCAGAAAAGGGAAAGCATTTCCCAGTGAAGTCAATAGACCAGTTGTTGAGTCTGATTTCAGAAGACAGTGGTGCAGATGGCTTCTAAAGTGAGTCCTATACTGCGTGAGCAAGCAATTAGGTAAGTAAGGATATAGGCATACATTCTTTGAACAGAAACAAATAAAACACAAAGGTTAATGCCCATAATAAATCATAATTCAGTTCCAAATTCAAGGCTTTTGCTGGAATGAAAGCAGGCAGTGACAATCTGATATTGTCTGCAGTGGGAACATCGCTAATGAAAGCATCAGGTGCTGAGGCCTGGTATGGCCTCATACACAGACACAGCTTAAAAATAAAATTTTGAAGATGGTTAATTGTATTGGAGTTTATTATTTTGTGGTTGTTAATCCTCACTGGAGGACACTTTTTTCATTGCCTTTCAGAGAGTGGAAAGGAGACAGAGAGAAACATCAATTGGTTGCCTCCAATACATGCCCTGACGGGGTGGGGATCAGGGATGGAACTTGAAACTGAGGTACATATCCTTGACTGGAATCAAACCCAGGACCCTTCAGTCCAAGAGCTGATGCTGAAACCACTGAGCCAGACTGACTAGGACTACTTTATTTTCAATTTTGTGTTAACTTAGAATTTTATCAGAATAAAAAGTTTCCTTTTTATTTGAAGTGCTTGTTACATTCAGTAATTCCCTAAATCACCCAAATCTTTGATAATTCAGTTAAAAGACTCAGAACTCAGTCAAAGCTGTTTAAATTTTGATGGCATGGTTTATGGTTACAGCTTATATGTAATAAAAAGGATATTGATTAAAATCAGCCAGGGGACGCCTTGGCCGGGTAGCTTAGTTGGTTAGAGTGTTGCCCTGATATGCCAAGGTTTGGGGTTCAATTACTGATCAGGGCACACACAATATGTAACCAATGAATGCATAAATGAGTGAAACAACAAATCAATGTTTCTCTCAAGTCCATAAAAATAAAATTTTAAAACTTAAAAATAAATTACGGGAGAAAGCACAAGGGGCAGAGTCCATGGGAATTAAAAGTGCAAAGCTTCCATTGTCCTTTCCCACTGAAGTCATGGACAAAGATAACTTTCCAGCAGTGACATAAGTCATGGAATGTTGTCAACCAAGGAAGCTCACACAAGCCTTGATGCCTAGGTTTTATTGCCTCAAATCTCATGAACATGATTGGCTACCTGATACCACAAAGTTCCAAAGCCCAGGAATTGTGGTAATAGAATGAAGCCAAAAGCCAGCAGGTAAACAAAAGAGTCTTAATCAGGCAGGATATTCTGAAGCTTAGATTAACCTTTCTGTGGGTGTGAGATAAACGCTTTACTACAAATGTGATGCATGCATACTCGCCCTTTTTTTTTAACATCAAAACATTTACATTTGACTGAATGTCTATAGTCAGTCTTGTGTTAACTTGACAAATAGCAATATACGAAGTGGGGCAAAAGTAATTTTATAGTTTTGAGTATGCAAAGTTTATTCTTGTATTATTTATTTTTGTGTTTTCCATATAAACAATTGTAAACCTGCTTTTGCTTCACCCTTTAGTATCAGTATGCATATGCCTAACATTTGGAGGTATGTGTAGGAATAGATTTAAATAAACACTGTCTTTTATAAAGTCACGTATACATTTTTGTTTTTTAAATATATTTTTATTAGTTTTACAAGAAGGAAGAAGAGAGAAATATCAATGTGAGGGAGAAACATCAGTTGGTTGCCTCCTGGATGCACCCCAGCCAGAGATGGAACCCGCAACCTAGGTGTGTGCCCTGATTGAGAACTGAACCAGGGATCTTTCTGTGCATGGGCCAGTGTTCAGCCAACTGAGCCACACTGGCCAGGGCGTTATTACATACATTTTTATATTTTCTACTAATTTGTGTTTTTTCACTGAATATTTTTGGGTGACATTGGTTAATAAAATTATATAGGTTTCAAGTGTAGAATTCTATAATACATCATCTGTAAATTGTATTTTGCGTTCACCACCCAAAGTCAAGTCTCCTTCCATCCAAAGTCAAGTCTCCTTCCATCTCTATTTATCCCCCTTTACCCTATTCTATCTTCCCCTACCCTCCTTCCTTTTCATAATCACCATAATGTTGTCTCTATTCATTTTGTTTTTGGTGTTTGTTTGTTTTTTTGCTTAATTCCTTCACCTTTTCACCTGCACCTCCAACTCCCCTCCTCTCTGACAGCTGTCAGTCTGTTCTCTGTATCTGTGAATCTGCTTCTATTTTGTTTGTTAACTTCTTTTGTTCATTAGATTCCACATGTAAGTGAGATCATGTGATACTTGTTTTTCTCTGACTGGCTTATTTCACTTAGCATAATACTCCCCAGGCCTGCCCATGCTGTATCACAAAAGGTAAGAGATCCTTCTTTTTCACTGCTGCATAATATTCCATTGCATAAATATACCACAGCTTTTTTTTTAAGAAATCGTTTTTTGTTGTTTTTTATGATTTCAGAGTGAGAAGGGGAGAGGGGGAGAGAGAGAGAAATATCAATGATGAGAGAGAGTCACTGATCAGCTTCCT